GACTCGATGAGCTGCTGAGCAACCAGAGATTGCCCATTTCTTTAGAGGCGAAAAGTGTGCGTGTTGCCTAATTGCTATTCACGCATCTGCACTCTGCTTTGTTCAGTACACAGATATTGTACATTAACATGCGAGAAGAGCACCAATTTGTATGTGCGGCCACCCCTCATGCATCTTACTGCCACTGCAGCAGCTTTTTCCCAATACAGTTTTTTAAATTATTCACGGCGCTTTCGCACTTGAAAACATTGTATTCGCAACAGTAATCCCTGTGCGCACATGCAGGACCTGAGAGTACCAAAGCCAAGAGGCAAATGCAATTCTGTAGAAATAGTCCATTGGCGCTAAAGGCCACAAACTTTCCCCCCCCAATTTCCCGCTCGCAGTACGCAGTTCAGCAGCTTCCAGCAGAACTTTTAACAGCCTCTTTACGTGAGGCCGGGTGGCTTTGGATGCAAAACAAACGCGTCTCTAGTACCAGCGTCCGCAGTTGAAATACTGTGACTCAATTAGCCTGCATTTGCTGACTTCTTAGTAATGTGTGCGTACGTGCGAAGCCTTAAGACGAGACGCCAGGGAACCGCAGGTTTACGCCTTTGCGAGAAGCCTCTGTTCTCTACAGCATTTGATTTAACTTCTAACAAATTAATTTCTTCGCTAACAATCTGCCTGCAACCCACACGCCGTAAAGTTGCTGCTAGAGCGGCCAGCAGCTTCTGCTGGTTCCTGCTGCGTGTGCAGAAGTCCGGCTATTCTTCTTGGGGTTGCCGCCTAGGCGAATAATTGTGCAGCTCGTGTGAATGATAATATATTCTGGGTTCCAAATGAATGTGGTGGGGCTTTAAAGAGGGCAGAGAACTGGAGACGGTCCGTTACTCCCTGGCGCTGCCTGCTGGGACGACTGCATGCGTTTACTCTGTCCTTTTTTCCACTTTCCGTTCTTTTTCTTCTTTTCTTCCATTTTCTTGCTGTTTCCATTGTTTTTGATGCGCCTTCCGCGGACGGGGCGGGGCGAACGGCCGTTGGCATGAGGCTCCTGGTGAATTCAAGTTCTTCGCTGTTTCGCCAGTTAGCAAGGGCAGCGACTCCCGCATTTCCAGAGTAGTACACGTTATTTTTGAGGCAAATAGACTTATACATTTGGTCTAAGTAGACACAGTCACTTATTCTCCCCGTTGCTGTGTCTCCCTCCTCCCTCCGTTCCAGTTCATCATGGATCCCGATACAGCTGCTGCCTTTCAGCGCCTGAAGGAAGCAGATCCCAGCAATAAGCGTTGCCTCGAGTGCGGTGGGTCATTAGGAGTTTCTTTGTAGCATCTTTGGACTTCAGAGCGTCTCGCGATCCCTTTTGCTGCACATTCCAAGCCACTTTTGCTGCATACTCCGAGGCTTAGGCTATTGCAGCAGCTCCTTCGTGCTTGTCCTGGAGCTGCTGAGCCAGCAGCGACTCGCAAGCGACACTGCTGCTTCTGCTTGCTGCTGCAGTGGTGCGTTGCTGCTGCTTGCTGCTGCACTTGCTGCAGATGCCCCGGAGCCCCAGTGGTGTGCACTTTCTTATGGCGCCTTCGTCTGCCTCAACTGCTCGGGCTTGCACAGGCAAGAGAGGCTCTCCTCATTGCTTTAGTCTCGTTGAAATCATTTTGAAAATAATTACTTGATGATTATAAAATCACTAGTGAAATGAAAATAAATCTGCATTTAGGTCTTTTGCCGTCGCCGCTATCTTCACGCTTGAGCGAAGCGACGCATTTACAAGTTCTGTGGGCGACTTGCTGCTACTGCCGCCGCGCCTCCTGCTGATCTGCCTTCACATGCTGCTGCTGCCGCTGCTGCTGCTGCTGCGCTCTGCTGCAGGGGCCTCGGTGTGCACCTGAGCTTCGTGCGCAGCAGCACAATGGACGCGTGGCAGCCGCAGCAGCTGAAGCTGATGGAGTGCGGAGGCAATTCCAAGTGCAAGAATTTCTTCGTGGAGTATGTGAGTCTTGTTTCGGATTTGCTGCAGCGCGTTGTATTTTGCTGTTATCCGAGGCGCTGCTGCAGCACCTTAACGACCTTTGCTGCTGCTGCTTCTCGGGCATTTGCGCTGCTCTTTAGGGCGTTTGGGACCTGCCATTCAAGGAGAGATATGCCACAAAAGCTGCTGCTTACTACAGGGCGCTACTGCGCTCTTCTGCAGAGCCCTCTGTTGCTGCGCCGCCGCCGCTGCAGCGGGAAGAAGCTGCACAGCCAGATGCTGCTGCTGCTGCTTCTCCGCCTTATTCTTCTTCGAATTCGATCCGCTCTTTGGGCTCAGGCATTGGCAATCCGCAGCAGCAGCAGGAGCAGCAGGACTCTGAGAAGGAGGAAGAGGGTTTCATTGCTTCGCTGCAGCAGCAGGCAGCAGCTGCTTCTGCAGCGGCGGCAGCAGCAGCAGCAACTGTCAGCAGCACGGGAGGCGCAGCACTGGGCACAGCTTTCCAAAATGTTTCTTCTTTTGTTTCCGGAGCGAAAGAATATACAGCAAAAACAATCGAGGCTGCAGGAGAATCTGGCATTATAGAAAAGGCGAAGGGAGGGCTCCAGAGCGTACGTACACCGCAGCACTCGAAGCAGCAGCAACAGCAGCAGCATGTGTTAGCAGACGCCACAAAGTTGCTGCTCAGCAACTTCTCATGGGCAGATTAGGTGGACAGGCTGCAGCAGCAGCAGCAGCCGCTGCTGCCCCTGTTGTTTCTGCTGCTGCTGCTGCTGCTACCGCTCCTAGTGTAGCGGGGGCTGCATTGTAGGGGATGTTCATTGTTACATTTCATATTTTACAGGGAAGCGAATGGATTGCCCAGCAGGGGAAGAAGCTCTCCAGCACCTTCAGTGGGTCGCACCGTGCTGCTGTTGCTGCTGCTGCTGCTGCTGCAACTGCTGTTTTTGCTGCTGCACTTCCTGCTGAAATCGTAGCTGCTTGGCATATTCTTGGCGGTTGCTGCGCAGCGGGTGGCGACGAGGAAGAGACGAGCAGCTCTGCTTCGCCCCCCTCAAAGGAGCACGAGCAAGAGGAGCAGCAGCAGCAGCAGCAGGAGCCGGAGCCGCAGCGCAGCAGCAGCGGGGTGCTGCAGTCCATGCGGGATCTGACGCGCCGCTCCCTCTCAAATGTTAGCCAAGTTGTCCGCAGCGGCAGCAACTCAGCTGAAGGAAACAACGTGCTTGATAAGGCCAGGGAAAGCCTCAGCTACGTGAGCTTTCCCCGTGCAGCAGCTGCTGCTGCAGCACCTGCTGCTGCTGTTGTTACTATTGCTGCTGTTGCTGCTGTCGCTGCTGCTGATGTTGCTTTTGTCGCTGCCGCTGCTATGGCTGTTCTCTCTACTGTTGCTGTCGCTGCAGACGCCGCTGTTGCTGCTGTTGCCGTTATCGCATCTGCTGCTGCTGTTGCTGTTGCTGCTGCTGTGGCGTTTGTGGCTGCTGCTGGTGCTTCCGTACCTGTGGTGCAGTGACGCAGCAGCAGCAGCAGCACCCATCCAGGCCACGAACCGCATAGGCGCGGTTGCCGCGAATACTTCTGCTGATGCTGCTGCTGCTGCTGCTGCTTGTGACTGCAGCTGACCAACGTTGCCACTGGTTGGCTGCAGCCAGCAGAAGTGCCTCCCCCAGAATGCGGTGAGGACAAGACTCTCTTTTCGAGCCCATTTGCTGTGGGCCACAAGTCTATACAGAATAATACGTTCTTATTTTCCATAATAGGCATTACATATATACGTGAACTACATGTATCCCACAATGTATATGTGTAGATATATATATTGAGGTAATATATATATATATGTGTGTTTGTGTGTGTGTGTGTGTGTGTAAATGTATATAGATTATATATATGTGCTGTATATGCATATATATATATATTATATATGTGTGTGTATGTATACATTTATACATATATGTATTCCATGCCTTCAGTACAAATAGGCAGCGGCAAAAGTGTAGGACGCATCAGAAGAGGGGGCTAGATCAGCAAGAAATGCGGTGTTTTTTTGCTCAGCAGCTGCCACTGCTGCTGCTGCTGCTGCTGCTGTGTGTGCAGGCGCAGCAGACGGCGTGGAGACGGCAGCTGACAGCCCGGAGAAGTTCCTCTAAAGCCTCACTTCTGTTTCTGCTGACTAATGTTTGCTTCCGATTCTAAGGGGACTCCTTGTGGGGTTTCCTTCAACGCAACAAGACTCAGGCCCAGCTAGGCGCCAGATCGGTGCCAGCTATCCACCAGATCGGTGCCAGCTAGCCACCAGATCGGCGCCAGCTAGCCACCAGGTCGATGCCAGTTAGCCACCAAAGTGGCCCCAGCAAGCCACCAGATCGGCCCCAGCTAGCCGCCAAAGTGGCGGCAGCTAGCTGCCGGATTGGCGCTAGGTAGGCACCAGAATGGTGCCAGCTAGCCACCAAAGTGGTGCCAGCTGGCCACCACAATGGCGCCAGCTAGCCACCAGAATTGTGCCAGCTAGCCACAATTAAGGTGCCAGCTAACCACTAGGTTGGCGCCAGCTAGCCACCATGCTGGTGCCAGCTAGCCACAAGAATGGTGCCAGCTAGCCACCAGAATGGCGCCAGCTAGCCACAGGAATGGTGCCAGCTAGCCACCAGCCAAAGCCTGTTTCGTGGAGTGTCGTGTGCAGCCGTGGCTGGGGAGTTTGGCTGGGGGCTGTGGCCTGGCTCGTTAGTTGCTGCTGCTCGGATATAAATGCGAATCAAAATTATATTTCTGCAACAAATTCTGCTGCTCAGATCTAAAGCAATTCTAAATTATATTTCTTTGCGACAAATTGCATCTCAGCTTTTTCTCTACTTCTTTGCTGCTTCTGTCCAGCCACTTCAACAAAAAAATGAACAAAATAACCCAAGGCAGCCAGCCCCCCACTGAGCCGCGCTTGCAGCAGCTAGTTATTGGCGCAGCGCCCCAGCTAGCTAGCTAGCTAGCTAGATAGCTGGCTGGCTGGCGGGCTTGGCGATGGCTAGCTAGCTAGCTAGCTAGCTAGCTATGGCTAGAGTGTCGCCTGGAAGCCCCACATTTCGTTGTGAAGGAGGGCCTCTAGCCGCTGCAAGATGTCTTCTTCGGACGCAGGCTTTGCTGCATGTCCTCTTGCTGCTGCGAGGCCGTCGACTGCATGCAGCAGCAGCAGCAGCCCCTGCTGCAGCTGCTGCTGCGCCGCCTGGGGCGCGCCCTCGCGTATGTACAGCGGCAGCTCCCCCTGAGGTGTACATACACTCGAACGCGCCCCACGCGCCACCACGCGGTGCACCAACGGCGTAGCTGTGAAGCGGGAAATGAGCAGCAGCAGCATAGCAGCAAAGCCTGCAGCGGCAGAAAGCGTGAGGGGGAATTCACTTTTTGTCTTTTTGTCTTTCAAAGTTTCTATTATCAAAGGAATGCAAGGAAGAGATAAAGACAAAATAGTTCTTCCGCTTTCTGTGTTCTCAATTGGCAGCAGCTGCGCCACTTCGTGCAGCCTGCCGATGCGCAGGCAGAACACGCCCTGCTGCTGCTGCTGCAGCTCCGCTGCTGCTGCTGCCATGCGCTGCTTGCTGCTCCGGTACCGCATCAGCAGCAACTCCAAACACCGAATCTGCTGCTGCAGCTGCCGCCGCCAGCTGCTGCACAGCGACGAAAGACACAGCAGCACCACGCTCTTCGGCCGCCCCGCAGCGCTGCTCCTGCTGCAGCTCGCTTTGCTGCTCCTCCCTTTGCTGCTGCTGCTGCACTTGACGGGGCTTCCGCTGCTACTGCGGCTGCTGCTACTGCTGCTGCGGGCCCCCTCCGTCGACGCTTCAATGTGTTCAGTCCCTGCGCTCGTTGCTTCCGCTCCACGCGACCCGCTAGCTGCTGCTGCTGCTGCTTCTGTTGCTGCTGCTGCCGCTGCTGCTGTTGGGCTTGTTGCCGTCGCTTCTGCTGCTGGGCTTGCCGCTGCTGCTTCCGACGCCGCAGCAGCTGCTCTCAGGTGTCTCTCCAGCTGCTTCTCTAGCGCAATACGCTGCTGCCGCAGCAGCAGCAGCTCTTGCCGTTTCTGCTGCAGCAGCTGCGAACGCTGCAGCAGCACGGAGAGCCTCTCTACTGACTCAGGAGGTGTTGCTGCTCCTGCAGCCTTTGTAGTTCTTCTTGCTGCTAATCCAGCAGCAGCTGATGCTCTCTTCCTATGTGCTGCTGCTGCTGCTGCTGCTTCGGGCGCTGCTGTTGCTTTCACAGCTGTAGGAGGAGCAGCAGCTGCGCTGCCGAAAGAAATCGTGCCGCCGCTGACTAGGCCTGCCCAGAATCCCTGCTTCTGCTGCTGTTGTTGCTGTTGCTGCGCTTTCTGCTGCTGCTGCCGCAGCTGCTGCTGCTGCAGCTGCTGCCACTGAAGCTGCTGCAGTGGCTCCGCTTGCTGTTGCTGAAGCCTCACCGGCGCTGCTGCTGCTGCCGGCCTCCTCCCGCTCTCCTCTCCCTCAGATGAGACACTAGATGAGCCATCGTCACTACTGATGCTTCTGCTGCAGCTCGTGCTGCTGCTCACATCCATTTCTCGCTGCTGCTGCTGCTGGCGCTTCAGCTGCAAGGCTTCTGTGGTTGCTCCAGATTTTGCTGCTATTCCGCACCTGTTGCTTCTGCAGCGCCAGTAGTTGGGGTGCTGATACGTCATGAGCGGCAGAAGCCGTGCTTATGGCAGCAGCTGAAGCTCCAGCAGCAGCAACTGTCGGCTGCGGTCTGGGCAGAAGCGGCAGCAGCAGCTGCTGCTGCCGCTGCTGCGGATGCTGCTGCTGCGGGCACCCGCAAAACAGCTACTTAGACACACCAGAATAACATACGGTGGATTCTGAGCAGGTTCCGCGGAGGACTTCTGCTGCAGCAAAGCCCACAACAGCTGCCGCTGCTGCTGCAACTGTTGCAAAGAACAACGAACACTGAAATGGTCTGCGCCTGGAACTCACAACAACAGCCGCTTCTGCTGTTCAACCTGCTGCTATAAGTGAAGCTAAAACGTAGAATATGTGCCTTGTGTTTCCAGCCGGAGCTGGCGACAGATCCGCAGCCGCAGCTGCAACAGCAGCAGCTGGTCACAATAGCTGCAACAGCAGCGGCTGTCAGCAAGACCAAGCCCCAGTCCGTTACGTTCGAATAACCTTAAATGGTATATCTGTTATTGCCATTAGGGGGAATGCTGCTGAGGATACTAGCAGCCGCAGCAGCAGCTGCTGCTGCTGCAGCAGGTGACAGCCGCAGCCGCAGCACCAGCAACAGCACCAGCACCAGCAGCCCCAGCCCCACGACCCCCCATGGACGGGCACCAGCAGCAGCAGCTGTTGTTGTTCGCCTTTTGCGTCTGTTGCGCTTTCTGTCAGATCTTCCTACTCAACTAGGTGTCTGTCTGCTGCAGCAGCAACAGCAGCTGCAGCAGCAGCAGGCCCGAGAGGTGCGCGGGCGAGGCAGCAGCAGCAGGGGCTGCTGCCGCAGCTGCTGAGGGAAAAACAGGATCCAGCAGCATCGGGAGGCAGGAACTGTTGCTGCCGCCTGAGAGGTAGCAGCGACAGCAGCAACAACGGCAGCAGCAGCAGCAGCAGCTGCTGCCGCAGAGGCACCGCTCCCCTGTGCAGCTGCTGCATGCAGCAGCAACAGTATCCACTGCTGCAGCAGCAGCAAGATTAGGAATTGCAGTTTCTCATAGCCACACAAGCGGGGTAGGCACCTGGGCGTGGAGTGATTTCATAGGCAGCAGCGGCAGCAGCAGCAAGAGCAGCAACAGCAGCAGCAGCAGCGGCAGAGGCGTGAAGAAGCCGTGGCATTTGTCTTTGTTTGTTCGCCTACGCTTGGATTTAACAGGAACAGCAGCAGCAGCTGCCACAGTAGCTGCAGCGGCAGCAACGGCTGGCGCGGCGCCAGGAGCAGCAACGGTGGCAGCAGCAGCGACGGCAGCAGCAAAAGTAGCAGCAGCAGCAGCAACAGCAGCACCAATTGCTTCAAAAATGGCGCAGAAGAAGCCCACCCCGAAAGAGGGCTCTCAGCGGTCGTCAGCAAAGCCCAGCAGCAGCAGCAGCAGCAGCAGAAGCAGCAGCAGCAAAGGCAACAACAACAGCAGCAGCAGCAGCAGCAGCAGCAGTAGCAGCCGGAGTGGGAAGGGCAGCAGCAGCTTAAACAACGAGGCTGCATCGTCGATCTCAGAAGCAGCAAAACAGGAAGACGTGGCCAAAAGCAAAGCCAAGAATGAAGTGACTCCAAAGAGCGATAGCAGCAGCAGCAACAGCAGCAGTAACAGCAGCAGCAGCAGCAGTAGCAGCAGCAGCGCCGCAGCCAAAAAGAAGAGGAGAAGGCATCCCTTTCTGAGCACAAAAAAGAGGCGAAGGACGGCGACAAGCAGCAGCAGCAGCAGCAGCAGCAGCAGCTCGGCTGCTGGCGCATCGAAGGCGCCGCGTGAGCCTCGAGAAACCGTGCGCAGCAGCAGCGTGAGCAGCAGCAGCGAGAGCAGCAGCAACAGCAGCAGCAGCAAGGAGGAGGAGCAGCAAGGGGAAGCGGAGAGCGACGACGAGGCGCTGCTGCTGCAGCCGTGGCCGCCAACAGCAGGGGACCTGCGGGAGCCCAGCAGCAGCAAACTGCGCTGCCTCTGGCAGCAGCAGCAGCACCAAGATGCAGCAGACCGGAGGCTTGAGGCTCTCTTTGATGTCTTCTGCAGCAGCGCCGTTGCTGCACTGCAGCGGCTGCGCGACAAGCTTGCTGATGCTGCTGCTCCTGCTGCTGCTGCTGCTGCTGGGGCCCCGGACTTGCTGGCAGCAGCAGCAGCGGCAGAAGAAGACCCCAAAGTGGAAAGCGAGACCCAGCAGCAGCAGCAGCAGCAGCTGGATGTGGCGCAGCTTGCTTCCTGCGTGCTGCACCTGCTGCCGCCGCCTGCGCCGGTGGCAGCAGCAGCAGCAG